TCCAGTGTGGTAATGAGGTGGGTTAATAATTTGGGAGAAAAAAATAGAACTTGAAAGTACTTGGTTTTTTGAATAGACAGGATCATTTTTTATTTAAAAGAATACTATTAACAGAGTGTTTACTCTTTGTTAGCCATTGTGCTAAGCACTTTGTTATTTTATCTTCAAAACAACCCCATTAGGTATAAATTATTATCCTTATTTTGCCCAAGATCACACAACCATTAACCATTAGAACTCATCTCAAACCCAGATATATCTGACTCAAAACCCTGTTCTAACCATCATCTTGCCTTCCCTTAAAAAAAGCATGTCTAATATAGATCCAATAAAAGGATAGTTAGTATCATGCAACTTTATAGATGCAATGTTAAGTAAAATTTTTAAGTCATAGAAAATGAATAAAAATAAACATATATTGAGACTTAGTAAATCTGGCTGCAAATAAGGAAAAATACACAATTTTTGTTATTAATATGCAAACTAGAGACAAAATAAAGATTGCATAGTAGAGTCATGCTTTTATATACTTTCTCTCTTAAGTACATAGCATGATACTTAAAATGTGAAATGAGAATATGGAAAAGACATTCATGGACTTAACACAAACACAAAACACTGAGCAGGGCTGAAGCTGGTATCTCCTGAGCTCTGGGTCCAGAAGGCAATGACACTTCCAATATTCTGTTCCTACAGAATAGTTGAAACAACCCGCTTCCCTAAGAAAAATTTAAAATGTAGGCTTTTAACTAAATCTGACAAGACTATTCTCCTTAATTTTTTTCTAAGATGAGATTTTGCTAGACAAGAAAGTAACAGTAGATCTGGTACAGTGGTTGGGGAACTGAGCCAGAACAGGTAGAACAGAGATAAACTGAGAAAATAAGCTATCCTGGCATCCCCTAAGAAAATTCAAAGGCTATTTAAGCCTGGATCAATAGCAAATAACTTGATATAACTCTTTATGCCTATAGTTGTGAAATTACAGCTGTAAAATCCTAAAAGATTGCAAGGTAGTGTCATTAGTCTATAAAAGTAATCTTTCTTCCTTGTAGAGTGCAATAATGAACTCTAACCCTTCCAGACAAAAATTTAGGTTTTTTTCCATTGAATATTGCAAAGATGTATTTCCATAATCTCAGTTTTCAAATCTGGGAAAGAATTTTTAACCTTTGTATTCTATGACAGGCAGAATAATGGCCCCACAAAATGTCCACATCCCAATCCCCAGAACATGTAAATGTTACCTTACATAGCCAAAGGGTTTTTGCAGATGTAATTAAATCAAGGATCCTGAGATAGGGAGATTATTCTGGATTATCCGAGTAAACCCAGTATAATCACAAAGTCCTTATACGAAGAAGGTGGGAGATCAGAGACAGAGGAGATGTGAGGACAGAAGTAGAGGAGGAAGTTATCTGAGGCCACTAGCCAAGGAATACAGGCAGCCTCTGGAAGCTAGAAAAGAGTGGGAAACAGATTCTCCCTTTAGAACCTCCAGAAGGATTGTACACCTTGATTTTACTCCCACAAGATCCATTTTGGACTACTGACCTCCAAAACTATAATAAATTTATGTTATTTTAAACCACCAAATTTGTGGTAGTTTGCTACAGCAACACCAGGAAACTATATTCCAACTATTTTTGGCCATATTTCTAATATGAAGACGTTTCTGTTGTTTTTAAGAAAAAGCAAATGAGAATAAGTCATAGAAAGATAGTAGTTTATTCTAGCTTCTTTTCATTTCCAAACTCATCAGTAATCAATATTAAATAAGAGTAATAATGATATATAACCTTACAGTCATCAAAATGGCAAAAAAAAAGCTTTCATTTATTAATCGAAGAGATGGAGGAGGGGGAAAATAATCTCATATATTACTAAAGAATAGCAATCTGGCATCCCTTGTTAAAATTAAAAATACACATCTTTCCATCCAGCAATCCCAGTCCGAGAAATCTAACCCACATAAATAAAAAGCACTACTATTAAGGATATTTAAATATACTTATGGTAGCATTGATTATAGTAGAAAAAAACTAGAAACAAAGTGCCCATCAATAGGATAATGTTGAATAAATTATAGTACTTCCCATACCACAGGCTATTGTGCAGCTATTAAAAAGAATTAGAGAATGAAGTTGGACTCTGCTTCACGCCATATGCAAAATCCATTCAAAATGGATCAAACCTATATATAAGAACTAAAATTATAAAACCTCTTAGAAGAAAACAGGCACAAATCTCTGTGACCTTGGATTGGGACAGAGTATCTTAGATACGACACCAAAGGCACAAGAAACAACAAAAAATTAGATAAATTCAACTTCATAAAAATTAAAAATGTGTTTCTAAGGACAAAAGGTGAAAAGACAAACTACAGAATGGGAGAAAACTGCAAATCATCTATGTATCTATCCACACACACACATACACACATATACATATAGGGGATTTGTATCTATAATATGTAAGAAGTCTTACAACTCAAAAATAAAAAGCAACCTAATTAAAAATGGGCAAAGTATCTGAACAGACATTTCTCCAAAGAAGATGTACAAATGGCCAGTAAGCACATGAAAATATGGTCAACATCGTTAATTATCAGGGAAATGCAAATTAAAACCCTAATGAGATGGCTCTTCACACAAAGATGGCTATAATTTTTTAAAAAAAAAGTAACAACTATTGACAAGGATGTAGAGAAACTGGAACACTTGTGCATTGCTAGTAGGAATATAAAATGGTGCAGCCTTTTTGGAAAACAGGCAATTCCTCAAAAAGCTGAACAGAATCACTATATGATCCAGTAATTCCACTCCTAGGTATATGTCCAAGAGAATTTAGTATGTCTACACACAAGTTCATAGTAGCTTTATTCATAGTATCCAAGAAGCGAAAATAACCGAAATGTCCATCAGCTGATTAACCTATAAACAAAATGTTGTATATTCCTACAACAGAGTATTATTATTCAGTTAAAAAAGGCAATGAAGTACTGATATATGCATAAATGGCCTCGATATAAGTTATGCTAAGTGAAAGAAGCTAGACACTAAAGGCGACATGTTGTGTGACCCCATTTGTATAAAATATCCAGAATAGGCAAATCCAAGGAGACAGAAAGTATATCAGCCAGGAGATGGGAGGAGGAAGCAATGGAGAATGAATGCTAATGAGTATGGAGTTTCTTTTTCGAGTGATTAAAGATATCTGGGATTAGATTAGATATTGGTAGTGGTCGCACAATGTTGTGAATATACTAAAAACACTGAAATTTACATTGTAAAATGTTTAATTTTATGGTATCTACATTATATCTCAAAAAAAAAAAACTTTATCAGACAACTTACAGGGCAACCAGATAAGAAACCATTTGTCACATGATTAGGTAGAAGACAAGAATTTCATTCTATTTTTAGTTTTACGTTACTGTTTTTTTTTCTTTAATTTATGGAAGAAATATAAGGTTTCCTTTAAAATACATTTACATTAAAAAATGAAATCAATATAGATAATAGTATTAAAAAAACATTTAGTAAATAGTAATTTATGTGGCAGACCTTGAAGTTTGGAAAAGTCTGAGTGTTCTCTAGAGTTTCAAACCTAGTAATACTGTTTAAATTAATAATAACTTAATATACCATTCAGCTCCCAGTGACAAGTATCTCTGTAAATTGGTCCTTAGACAGGTTCTTCAAAATACAGTACTTTCTTGTAATACTATTTCCAACATAATTTTCAGGAGTTTGCTCTCAAGTTACCACAGGGTGTGCTTTCCATATCAATACATGGAAATACCTCCATATCCATCATCCTCACTGGCTCTCCTTGGAACCAAGGTTCCTCAGCTGTGCAAGCTGAGATTCCTTGGAGCACCATGGGAAAAACATTGACACCTTACATCTTTTGGATACCATGCAAACTTCTAGTTCCAGGTAGTTTCAGTACATTAGATGGCAGCACATTCCCTTTAATGATACGTCTTTGTGAAGCTGGGGCTTGGGGCGCTGCTGTGATGAAAAGCAAGTACTGTGCAAGAATCAGTGTGGAAGAAATGAGGATGGCAGTGTCCAATCTTATCCCAGTTTTGAGAAACTGCAGTGCCCAAAAGGCATACTCATTCCATTAGTAGGTCATTTAAGAATGAGATTAAAAATTATCACTTTTGCTTTTAATTTACATGTATTATTTTTTTCAAATGGCTCCTAAAGTTGCTAGAACCTAACTACTTCCTTTAATGTATGAATCAGTATGTTAAAGGACCAGTCTCTCAGATTGGGGGTGTATGTGTAGGAACACCTCTTGATAGGAAATGCCTGCCGTAAGTGCCTGCCTTAAAGGTTAAAGGTAATATAGAAGCAGTTATCTTCCCAGTCTAATGAGCAGTCATGTAGGGGCTAGAGAGGGAAAGAAAGACATATGCTACTTCTTAATTAATTCCCCAGGGTCACTTCATAAACCTTAAAAATAATGAGACAACAGAGCCACTCCACATACTTTGTAATCAGGAGTGCTCACCTGTGTGGACCGGAGACTTCAACACTGTCTTCTGTCCCCTGCGAGGACATACTGGGATAAATCACGCTACTTTTGATTCCTCCTCTCAAATTTTCTACCCTAAAAAGAGTTTCCTATAACTGAGCCCCCCAGCTGCAGTTATTATAATAAATTACGCAGTATGTTACACGTACACAAATCCAAGGCATCATGGTGTGATTGTTATTGCATTAAATATGTACTTCCATAAATGTTTCCTTAGTTACCATACCAAAACTGTATTTAGAATTAATAATGAACTTATTTCCATTTGTAATTAGCCTCTTCACCACAATTTTGAAGAGGGCTGAAAATCAAATATTTAAGAGTTTTTACTCCTGAAATGAAACACAAACTAATCAGAATGCTCTTTTTAAAAAATGTTTAAACCAAATTCACATACACAGTATATATAAATGTATAGCATATTCACACATAATTGAAAAAAAGAAAAAGGGTAATTTGCCCATAATCAAAACTTTATTGAAAAACTGACACCAAAATAGGAAAGCGTTGCTGTATATGTTACAAAATTAAACAAAATTACATTATCTTGGTAGGTTAACCAGAATTGCTGAACTGATAAGGCTTCTGGGATACCACACAAACTCAGGACGCTGTGTGGGCCATTAGTGCTGCTTTCTTCTAAATGAACACCCTGCAAAGGAATCACAAAAGCACACTAAGCACACGTCTGTTCTATCTTTAGCATAGAGTTTTAATGACAAGAGGTACTTTTTAAGTAAAAAACTTAACTTTTAGAAAAATTAGATTAATATTCATATGCAGGTTACTTATTCTTTTATACCAGAAATTTGCTAAAAGAAATCTTATATTTGAATTTACTCTGATGTGACTATAACTGTCACTCCTGTTTCTCATATGTTATAATGGAATTTATTTAAGACCATGAGCCAGAATTCAACGGTTAAATTTTAATGCAAACTGTCAGAGGATACAAACTTAAGTTTTAGGAATTACTGTGCTAAGAAAGCAATTTTGATAATTTCAGACCTATGGTGAAAACTCTGATACTGATGCACCCTTTTATTCGTCTACCAGCATATGGGCACAAAATTCTAAGATCATGGCATGATATAAAGGTTTTGGAAATCTTGCAAGTACATTTTTAAGAATAATACTGTATTTAAATATTGCATGCTGACTTCATAGATCTCACCAGTTCACACCGAACAGATCTTGGATTTATTGCCAATCCACTTACAACTTCTTCCAGTAAGAATAACATGGAATTCACAGCTCCCCCAAATATCACAAGCAAATTTCAAATATCATTATGGAATTATAAATTTGTAAGTATTACTACTATGAAAAATTATATACATAATTATTTTTCTTATTGCATAAGAGTGAATTAAAATTAATTAACCGTAAGTAGCTGCTCATAGAAATCAAACCTCTGACATTTTAATTACAGTTATCTGTTGTTTAGCTAGCAATGATAAAAACTGTCTTTTATCATATGTACCAAATCATATGCACCAAACACATATAAAATCAATTTACAGGAGAAATTTTAAAATTCTATGTTTTTAGAAATCTGTATGTATGTAGTTACTCTTTTTCTCCATTCTGATTTATGTCTAATATTCCAAGTTAAGCAAACTGACTACATACAACAGAATTAGGTGTTCTAAACTAAGAAAAATTACCCAATTGAACAGGGCACTCTTTACTAAAAGAGCATGCAATGGAAGATAAAAATTATTTTGGTAATTATGAATTTAAGATTTCTTTTCAACTGGTTTTAGGTAAAGAGAGAAACTTTAAAATCATAAAATCTCATCACTGGGTTAGAAATGCCAAATGATATACCTTCTGTGAGTCTGGCCTTTCCTCCTGTTGGCTGGCACAGCACCGTTGAACAACCTACACAAAGCACCACTGTCTGAGCATGGCTGAAAACTGTGGTAATCTTGTAGCAACCTGAAAAAAAAAGGCACCGTTAAAAGTGAAAAGCAGAAGAAAACACAGCACCTGTTCAACATGTTTCTAGTTAAGACCTTGTAAAAGATTAGGAATTTTAGTGCTGTGCAGTAGCAAGCCATGTATGTAACTTAAACTCTTCTAGTAACCACATTAAAAATAAGTTTTTTTAAAAGTGAAATTAATAATATATTCTGTTGAACTCAGTATTTCCAAATGTTATCACTTCAACATATAATCAAAGCTTCTTTTTGCCATGCTACATCTTCAAAATCCAGTGTATATTTTACACTTAAAGATACAGCACAGTGGCTACAGTTAATAATACAACAATACTGTATTGAATATTGGAAGTTAAGAGAGTATATCTTAAAAGTTCTTATCATAAGAAAAGAAATTTGTAACTATGTATGGTGCAGATATTAACTAGACTTATTGTGCTGATCATTTCCCAATATATACAAATATGGAATCATGAAGTGGTATGCCTGAAATTAACATAATGTTTTATGTCAATTATACCTCAAGAAAAAAAAAAAAGAAAAGAAAAAAAGTATTTTGACTAGCCACATTTCAGGTGCTCCGTAGCCACGTATGGCTAATGGTCAGCATATTGGGGCCCAATAGCTTTACACTGAAGAATCAACATGCTTTCGTTGCATTACAAAAAAGAAAACCCATCTGAACAGCTAAAGACTTAATAAATTAAAAGTCGTATTCCCTTTGGAGTCCTCTTTTCACATACGCCCCCACCTAATGTTTCTACAGTAGTTTGTTATGGAAATAACCCTTATGACATCCCAATTCTGTAATCCCATTCTACTCAACAGAGGGTCCTATATCTAAACATTCACAAAATATTATTAGCAATCCTTATAGAAATTTTCCTTAGAAAAGGAATTAAGGTTTGAAATTTTACCTGGGCATTTTACATCCATAAAGTAAGAATTTGGACTTTGAACCAGTCGTTTCTTTTTATGTTTTTTCTTTTCCTCTTCCAAGGAAGGATGCAGTAAATCTCTAGCCAACTGAATAAAAAAAGCGTATTACTACTAGACGGAAACCACAACTCTGGCAGATTTAACCATATGTGAAATATACATACAAAAACAGGGATAACAGCCATAGCAGAGGTAACCCTTGGATGTTTATTTTTCAAAGCCTGCTAACTTTCATTAATACTTTTTATAATGCTTGCGTTCTCCAAGTCCTGGTAAAGGGACTCTACGACGCCCAGGAGACATATGGTAGGGTTAGCCTCGTTGTTTACTTAACTAAGTATCAGTCTCCAGTGAATATCACCTCCAGTGAGGTGCCAAGTAAGACCGTGATCCCGACCCTGGACCCGCTGGGAGTAGAAACTGCCGAGGCAGACGCGGAGACTGCCAACACCGAAGTGATTTCTGCCCCCGAGGTTCAACATCTGATCTGACAGGAACTCGAAGCGGCTGACGCGTAACCGTCCTTGATAGAGTTAATACCTATGGCAACTGCGGAGACAGTTTTTTAAAAGGAAACAAGCAGGAAATCGCTTCCGAGAAGGCAGAGGGGGCAAGAACCACGAAGCGAGAGCAGAGCAAGAAAACTTGAACGATCACAGCCCCGCGGTGCCCACCGAGACCCTAGAGGGCGGAGTAAGTTGCGCGAGGAGCTGCCCGCTCCCAGCCGCGACTCCAGCCCGCAGCCCAGAACGGCCGCGGTCCTCCCCGCTCCACGCCCAGGCAGGGCCCGGCACGCGCTGCCCGGGCAAGTCCCGGCAAGTCCGCCACGCGCGGAAGAGCCGCGCGATCCGAGCCGCCGAGCCGCCCCCGGCTGAGAGCCCCCGGGGCCCGCGGGG